AATATAAATATAAATATGTACTTAGGATGGATACACAAACGTATACCTTATCATATAGTACATATATCCCCGCAGACATGTCACCACACATACCCACTAGCAGCAAATCGTAGTTGAAGTTCTTGGGTAAGTGGTGGGCCAATGACGGGAAGTTCACCTCCAGAGCAGAGAACCTGCAGCCCAATACAAATGCCAGCCACGCGATGAGTCGAAAGTATTTACTGGTACGTTACTGTGCACAGATTGGCATCACCACACGGCTGCTGCCAACACATCAGTACAGTTACACTGTACTGCGTGCACTTGGGTGTATATGGGCTGTGTATCGTCTGAGAATCGTAGTTAATCGTGACCCTTCAGCTTGACTTTACCATTTCGTTTGTTACACGCATTGATACTCCTTCGACTATATTACTTACATTCCCCTCCCTAAAACCCTAAACCCTAAATTATACTGCTTACATGTTTTGTTCGTACTCGGTCGATGCTTTTACTGAGATTGGTATCGGAGATAGCAAGTGTATACAGACCGATCGTCGCCGTGATTCCAAACATATACATAGATAAAGTGCGTATGACGTACGGTGACTAGTCTGTGCGCGTAATTAGACACAGGATAGTTACATGTGATCACTAGAATATAAAACATCGAGTACATATAGGAACACATCCAAGCATATATATGTTGATAAGCCCACAATTGTGATGCTATATGCTGATACGCCCACAATTGTGATGCTATATACGTACCTGTCCCCTGACAGTGATTCACAACACATTATACACATGCGTTTTCACGTACTTGTACACACACATGATATGCAAGAACGTACTTGCATACACACTTGGTACGAAAGTACATACATAAAATATTAAAGAACATACTTGTACACAAACATAATAAGCAAGTACGTGCTTGTATACACATATAGTACGAAAGAACATACATGAATATAAAACAACATACCTGTACACACACACGATAAGCAAGAACGTACTTGCATACACACATAGTATGAAAGTACATACACAAAATATAAAAGAACATGCCTGTGCACACAAAACATACGCGAAAACGTATTTGTCTACACACATAACACGCTGGCTGTGACATACCATCCGTCCAGATGGTTGATTGCGGCCGAAACTTGCATGATGTCTTGGGCGCGAGTGTTCTTAAACATCAGTGCCATGAGTGTAGTCAGCGTGTCTGGGTTGCAGATCAGAAAGTCCTGACACCGTAACTGCGGAAAAATTTAGAGTTTGGCGTTTAAAATTGCAGGGGTGTATAGTTCAGCGATAGAGGATATCTAGATTTATAGTCTCGTTGGGATTGGGGTTTCGACTTGTAGGGTTTATCCAGATTATTTTACATGCATACACGCATAGGTGTGTACTGTCGTAGTAACGCATGCTATGCATGGTGCATATACAAGCAGTGAATGGGAGTGGCCCTGTGACATATCATTGCGTTGCTGTATTTAACGCTATGCATTGTGCGTATACAGGCAGTGAAGGGGAGTGGCCCTGTGACATACCATTGCGTTGCTGTATTTAACGCTATGCATGGTGCATATACAGGCAATGAAGGGGAGTGGCCCTGTGACATACCATTGCGTTGCTGTACTTATCGGGACTCATTTTGTCCATTTCGATGAGAACTGCTTTGACAACGTAACGGTATCTGCCGAGTTAAAACGACATTACAACAGAGGATGAGACTATGTACAGACAGAGTGTTACAGCCACTACATACGAAGTAGGATTATTATATTGGTCTGCACAGTTGAAACGACATTACAACAGAGAATGAGATTATGTACAGGGTGACTAAATGAAGACAGAGTGCTACAGCCATTTCATAAGAAGTAGGATTGTGATATTGATCTGCACATTTGAAACGACATTACAACAGAAGGGGTGACTAACACTAACACATATGAAGACCGGGATACTAAAACGTTTTTGATCAGTATTGACATAAAACATGCTCATATATGCATCAAACGTTTTAACAAAACATTTGAACGGCTATCAAAGCAGCGCACACAACAAACACAATCGACATACAAACTCACACGCATGAAATAGTTATTCACACGCGTGCACGAGATCCACGCAATCTACATACGTAGCATCAGCCTAATATTCAATCATAGCCACATTAACTGATCTATAAGCGTGTCTACAAACATACATACATGCATATATATCCACATTTACTGGTCTATATGCCTGTAAACAAACATACATGCATACATAAATCTATGACTGTATATCCAACAATCCACATGTCCGCTATCACTTATACATGTCTCTATCAGTAAGTACTACATAATATATAGTACAAGACTTCCAACCAGATCCGCACGTCATTTGCACTCATACACGGCATCATCACAGATAGATTTAGACGTACATCCACATCCACACATTCACAGAAACACATGGCTATTATCACACACACATACATCTATCACCACACAACCACAAACACTCAACCATTACGATACACACACACATACATCACCACACAACCACAGGCACTCACCCCTTATCATACACACACACATACATCACCAAACAACCACAAGCACTCACGTCTTATCATACTCACACACATACATCCCTACACAACCACAAGCACTCACCCCTTATCATACACACACACATACATCACCACACAACCCTTCACACTCGCCCCTTATCATACACACACACATGCATCACCACACAACCACAAGCACTCACGCCTTATCATACACACACATATACATCACCAAACAACCACAACCACTCACACCTTATCATACACACACATACATCACCACACAACCCCACCCACTCACTACAAACCCTCATGCACCATCATACACAACCCCACCCACTCACCCAGGGACCATGTGCCACTGCAGCCCCTCATGCAGCACCACACGGTTGTACATGTGGTTGGCCAGGATGCCTGCAGTATGGTAGAACGACTCCTGACGCGACTCAATGTCTTTAACCCACGTGTCACCTGTCACGTGTCAGAATAAGGTCGAGTGGGTTGTGACCAGTAAGCATATCTCGCGCACGAGAGGGTTGACCGAGATAGTCAGTCGTCTGGGCGTTGGTCAACGTATTCGGATTGACAGACATGAGATCTGGTACGTACACACGCATGTATATGCACGTGTGTGTGCATACAGGTATATACTGCGAGCGTACGAAGAATCACAAAATCAACGCACACACCCGCGCTTGCATGTTATAGATAGGAAGTTATTGTGCAGAAACGATTGGGTAATTTGATTGCGAGTGCATATAGATGTTGTTGGTGTTGATACCAATGGCATTAAACATGAAGGGTTTTAGGTTGATGGTGTAGAGTATGTGCCGTAAGCTTGAGACTTGACGGCGTAAAGAAACATAAACACAAACACACGTATATACACTTGACTGAGCACACACGTAGACAAACATGTTCCGACACTCTGCATCAGTCTCATTGCGAACTATAGACCCAGGCATGAAAATAAAACTCGCTCATATCTACACACGAACATCCACCTAACTGAACATAGACTAACTGAACACTGGCAAATACGTCTATATACATCTACAGACACATGTATATACGGACACATACATATACAGACACATACATATACATACACATACATATACAGACACATACATCTACAGACATATGTTTGCAGACACATACATCTACAGACATATATTTACAGACACATACATCTACAAACACATACATAAACAGATACATTCATATACAGACACATACATCTACAGACACATACATCTACAGACACATACATATACAGACACATACATATACAGACACATTGTCCTACATAGGCTAATATGCACACATACACACACACTTGTCCTACATAGGCTAATATGCACACGCTTACGTACCATAGGGTAGGGTTTCCTCCATCTGTTTAAGCACTGCTTTGTCGACGTACGGGATGTCTTCGAAGTCGTTGTAAATGGCCTCGAACATGATGGGGTCGAGTGCTTCTGACACACTCTCTTCTAAGCTGAACTGTGCCACGCCCCACTCCTCAATCTCTACAGGAATGTAATGTATATACGTGTTTATACGGGTTTAAATACACGAGCATATATGCGAAACGATATAAGATATACATATACATAACAGTCACACATCTTTGGAACTAATTCGTTACACTGCCCATTCCTTAATCTCTTCAAAGATGCAATGTATATACGTATTTATACGGGTATAGATACACGAACATTTATGCGAAACGATATAAAATATACATATACATAACAGTCACACATCTTTGGAACTAATTCGTTACACTGCCCATCCCTCCACAAGCCTGAGCCGATAATCGATAGAGCTTACCCGAGGCTCACCGCTCAGAAGAAGAAAAAAACACGACATGTATATAACATGCATACGACATACTTGTGCAACACACCGCTCAGAAGAAACAAAAACACGACATGTATACAACATGCATGCGACATACTTGTGCAACATGCATACGACATACTTATGCAACATGCATACGATAGACTTGTATTAACATGCATACGACATACTTGTATTTCTCTTTGCTTTGGGGAGGATGGCTTCCTGGACTTTCTTGAGAATGGACGGTATCATGTAGCACGCGATGCACACCACCTTCGCCGTAAACACTTTCTGTGAGAATATGGCGTAGGCAGCAGGTGATGTGAGTGAATGTATCCGTATATGGTATGATAACATGTCAGACAAATGTATCGTAGATGTTCAAGTGTCAGACCATTTGATCGTGGTACGATGAACTGTCAGACAATCGTATCACGCATACCGATCAGACTATATATATATATATATATATATATATGTATATATATATACGTATATACGTATATAGATATATAGATATATAGATATATATATATAGATATAGATATATAGATATATAGATATATAGATATATAGACATATAGATATATAGATATATAGATATTTAGATAGATATATAGATATATAGATATATATATATATATATATATATATATATATGACATTTAGATTTGTTTATGCCAGTAGTGCGTCACACATACCAGTTCGCCGAACATAACGCGGCTATTCATTTTATTCAAACAGTACGACAGAGTGCGATACATGCTGGACCTGCATGATCAGAATATAAGTTGGAGATGAGACTATGATTGAACTCTTTTGCTGACTATACAAGGATGTCCGGTACATGCTCAGCCTGAGCAGAGGACATACAAGTTGGTGATGAATTGATGATAGAATTGGTCGTCATGGCAACCTGACAACACGACAACGTCCGGCTTTATGCGAAACTGGAGTGGGATCAGTATAAGTGGGAGATGAGGTTAGAGTCGCATAGACATTGCAAGCAATACGTCACTGTCAGTGACGTACGCTCGACCTGAGGACAAGACAGACACCTCTGAGCGGCAAGAGACGCTAATTCACCCCACACAATCGCCAACCATAGACGCATCACACACTAGCTGCTGCTGGTATTGGTACAAACGGTAGTAATGAAACACACGGCTGGACTCATGCGTGTGGTCACTGGCATCAGCAGGTACAGATAGCCCCTACCAATGACTGAACATTCTCTCAGTTCAAAAGATCTTTACAAAGTCACAATACAAGTCACGAAACGACAGCAACAAAGTGTAAAAATAGTCTCGCACAACGACTATACCTCTCACGCCAGATACAATTTACGACATTGATTTACGACATGTGCAGATCGCGTATAATGCTTGAACCGCTTGAAGATACAATTTACGACATTGATATACGACATGTGCACATCTCTAAATAGGTACCTGACTTGGATGATGACTTCTTTCGCCAACTCGAATGGTCGGTCGGCGTGTGGTCCCCTCCTGAAGAGATGCAATAGCAGCACCAGCTGATAGGATTTTAGGGTTTTTAGAGTTTTTAGAAATTTTGGGGTTTAGGGGTTATAACGCGCCACAGAACGAATGCAGATTAAAAACTAAGGTTTGTATGGCTAATGATAAGTAGCCGGGCAACTATGACGGAACAAGAAGACAATGAGAGTGAAAGGGGGGGGGGGGGGGGGGTAGGTGTACCAATCGACTCTCCTACCGATCATATGACCAAATACAACAGTTGGGACAGAAGCACTTGAGCAGGTGACACTCTTTGTACATCTATATCACTTGATGGGTAGATAATACAACAGTTGGAACAGAAGCACTTGCGCAGGTGACACTCTTTGTACAGTGTATGACTTGATGGGCCGCTGCCAAACCAAACGACAGCACAGATATATACGCATGTCATAAACACAGTGTGGATGGTATGAAGGACAGGACAAACGTCAGCCAGACACCGTGATGCACAGAAGCACTCTCACACAGCCTTTCGACCAATCAAAACGCACATAATCCAAGAGGACCAATGAAAACGCACATACGAGTTGCGCAAGGTGACAAAAAGATTCACCTCAGACCGTTGCATGCACGCAATAATGAGTTGGAAGGCGACCTTTTTGTTCTCATAGACGGTATCGTCCAGATGATTCAGCATCATGTTCCATATCTGCAGCACAGAGCAGCACAGAATGTCAGATGGAGTGGAATGATAACACTTCGCAATACAATGACAAACAATACAACCCAACCCAACCCAACCCAACCCAACCCAACTCGACGTGACGTAACCCAACAGGGCACAATAAAACACACACCGATGCAAAAGGACACAGGCCTTAAGCAAGCGAGCTGATGAGCGCTACTCAACTCAACTGTCTGCGAGTGCGGGTACCAAGCACAAAGCAACAGTGCAGCAGAGGAACACTTGGTGTGTGCGAGTATACTGGTGTTATTTGTTATAAACCAGTACCGAACTTAAGGTAGGTGTGAGCAGAAGTGGGTGAGGTTGCTCACACGTGTGTACATCTACGTGTACATTTACCTGTGTCATGCAGATCTCCGGTTAAACGAGTGCGTTCGTAAATTCGCTTGAGATGGTATATGCAACCATAAACATACAAGGAATATACATACAGATTATAGGACTAATACTTATAGATTGTATGACACCTATATGTACATTGTATAACAAATACATACAGATTATATGGCTAATACATATAGATTGTATGACACCTATATATACATTGTATAACAAATACATATAGATTGTATGACTAATACATGTAGATTGTTTGACACCTATATATAAATTGTATAACAAATACATATAGATTATATGACTAATACCTATAAATTATATGACTAATACATGTTGATTATATGACACATATATATGCATTGCCAGACATATACATATACATTGTATGACTAATACATATACATTGTATGATGCACATATACACATTGCATGGCACATACATGTACATTGTGTGATACATACATATACAATGTATGGATCATACATATACAATGTATGGATCATACACATACAATGTATGTATCATACATGTACAATGTATGGATCATACATATATAATGTATGTATCATACATATACATTGCCAGTACATTGCATTATAGGTAGTCTACGCCGTTATGCCACGCGTATCCGCCCATAGAACATTCAACCTCCCACATACCACCAGGAAGATCTTCACCGCCCCAATCATACTCTCGTGGTTTGAGTAGACAAACGATGTCATGCTGACCTTGTGGCTCGAGCACACATCTGCCACCAGCCCACTCATCCACTCGTGCTCCTTTGTCTTGATGCGCTTCCGACTGTACACACGAGTCAGTGTGGCAAATGCAGTTATGTTTGGGAACAGGTGTGCTATCTATAGCATAGGAGCAAGTGCGCTATTTATAGCTGGGGAGCTATTTTTTAGGAACAGGTGTGCTATTTATAGCTTGGGAGCTATTTGTTAGGAACAGGTGTGCTATTTATAGCTTGGGAGCTTCTTATTAGAACAAGGGTGCTAACTACAGTCTTGCACACACCAGTCATCAGTGCCCTCCATCACTACCACACGGTTGCTCTGGTACGTAGTACATGCGTACATCCACACACTCCATGCACAACTATTCAGTGACGGTACTGGTGTTCTAAACTAAACCTTAAAACCCTATCCGCAGATCAGATGTACGGGAACAGACGCACAAACCGGCACACACGGCCACTGGCGGGCCAGCCCACTACGCCCTACGCGTTTGACTGTACGATGTATTCAACACATCCCATCAGAATAGGGGCACTGTATCTCTGGACACTATGTTTTTCAGCCACACGTGTTCAGGTGCACGTGTTCAGGTGCACGTGTTCCTCGGTGGCTACTACGGGGTACGTGATACTTGCACAACACAGTTTCTGGGTGGTGTCTTGTGGCAGTGCATGCCATGAGATTGGGCCACGTCTACGTATATATACACGTGTACGTGTACGATTTAAAAGGCGTATGGGTAAGCATATATACACGTTTAACTAAGCATATATACACACGTGTACATACACATACGCGTGTACATGCACATATGATAAAAAGGGCGTATGTATAAGCATATATATACACGTGTACATACACATACACGTCTACATACTCATACGATATAAAAAGCGTATGTGTAGGCGTGTCGCAAACTGCACACCACTGCGTATACGTTTAGTCGAGTTCATATTGCACATACAACGGTTTGGGGTTGTAAATAAGTGCTTATGACACGTCTATGTGTTGGTGTAGTAGTTAAGTACGGATTACACCTGCCAGACTATGTGACGACTAAACACCCTGTGCACATACATACATATGATTGTAAACATGCTATCATCTGCTATTGTAAGCGAGTGCTTCTGCACGCACTGTCTGTTACTGCAGCGAACACATACTTTCGTGCGCCTGTACTATGGTCTGATGCGGAGAACGAGTATCCAAGTGTACATACTAAGGTTTGATGTAGTGTTCATACTATGGCTTGGTGTAGCGTATGGTGAGCTGGTTGATGAGTGATTTCATGTTTTAAGGTTGAAAGTTTACATACTATGGCTTGGTGTGCTGGTTGATGAGTGATTTCATGTTTTAGGGGTTAGGGTTTACATACTATGGTTTGGTGTAGTGTATGGTGAGCTGGTTGATGAGTGACTTCATGTGGTCCATTTCCTGTGGCAGTACCACAGCGTGTTTCTTGTGCGAGTGCGATTTCCACCATGACGACAGCCCTCCCCTACAAGCAAGCGAGGAATTTACGACGTGAGAGAAATTTACGACGTGAGGGAATTAAAAACCAATTTTAAATCATATGACGCGGACGGAAAGGTTCGGCGGAAGAATTGGTCCGGGATAAATACGATACGCGGGGCATGAAGAGATGGACCTTCCACCAACACAAGCATTAATCATGTGCCCACCAAAAATATACTACGATATTATCATTCTATAAATTATGATAGGTATGATAGATATTATGATAGGTATTATACAATATGATAGGTATTATACAATATGATAGGTATTATACATATTGTACGTGTCTGAAATCAACGTAACATTCGATATTAATAGTAGCCACTTCAAGGGGCCCATCTTGAACTATTGTGCAAATGGGTGAGGTGAGGTCTGACGTGACAAGAGCACAGAACGAGTCACACACACCAGCAGCAGGCGATCACATACCTACAGCACACACACACACATATATATATATATATACGGCGGTTACACTGAGTGCTTATAGCAGAGTACCACATGTACCAGGACAGAATATGAAGCCGACATGATACATTAAACATCTGGCGTCGCAAACACGTTACTAACCATCTCATGAACAGAATATAAAATGTCAAACAGATCTAAATCAAACATATGTCGCAAACTCATGTGAGCCTCTCCCATGACCACCCGATGTTTCGCGCTTGCACTGAGCTCTAGCAACCAAATACCACATGGACCAGAACGGAATATAAAACAGACACGATAAACCAAACATTTGGCGTCGCAAACTCACTTGATGGCTGCAGACTCTCCCATAACCACCGGACTCTCGGCAGAGATCCCGTGCTCCGTCATCACTCCCCCTTGCAGCTGAAACCTCTGTGAGAGTGCAGCGCATGGCACGTGTGACACGGAGATCAGGCATCAAGCAGGTTGTATTCATGCTA